AGCAGGCTTCTACCCACTCCAATGGCAACGACCTTGACCTTGTATTTTCCTATCTATGCACTCATTGCAACCTCTCCAACAGTCCTCTCCCACTCTCTGATCATCACCTTATTAGCTTCAGTCTCTCTCTGTCTCCCACCTCCTCTACTTCCAGCCACCTAATAGCTACCCGTAGAAACCTTCGCCGCCTCAACACTTCTCTACTCTACTACTGACCACCTCTATGACAAAATATCATCCCTGTCCTGCCCAAATCTAGCCACTTCTGTCTACAACAGTTCACTAACATCCTCCCTAGACAAGCTAGCCCCCCCCCCACACATACACAGTCAGGCCCCGACCCCTAAAACCTTGGCAAACAGATGACACCAGAGGTCTCAAAAAACACAGCCGCGCCCTCGAGCATCTGTGGCATAAGACTAAGTCTCAGAAAGACTTCAACCAATATTAATCTGCCCTCCAGAAATACTATTCCTGCTTCCACACTGCAAGCAGACCTATTTCATTACTCTCATTAACACCTTTTCATCCAAGCTCCGCGAACTCTTCTCTACCTTCAACTCTCTTCTTCATCCTCCACTGCCTCCACCTAACTCACTCACTGGCCAGGAGATTGCTAATCACTTCAAAAAGAAAATCGATACTATTCATGAGGAGATCTCAGATGCGCAGATACCTCCCCTACTTTACACTTCACATCCACAGGGACAATCACTTCTTCCCGCATTCAGCCCCACTACCATAGACAAGGTTGCTAAACTTTTTTCTAATGCTCCCCATATTTAAAAAGCCCTCACTAGACTGCACCAATGTTAACAACCTATGGTTAATCTCCTTACTCCCCTTTTCCTCCAAACTCCTTGAATGTCTGGTCTACAACCAGCTGAGCAACCACCTCACGGAGAATAACCTTCTTGATCCCCTTCAGTCTGGATTTCGCTCTCAGCACTACATGGAAACTGCTCTCCTCAAACTTACAAATGATCTACTAATGACTAAAACCAATGGACACTATTCTGCACTTCTACTTTTGGACCTCTCTGCTGCCTTTGACGCAGTGGGCCACTCTCTACTCCTCAAAAAACTCTACACCTTTGGTCTCCGTGACTGTGCTCTTCGTTGGTTCTCATTCTACCTATCCCACCATACCTTCAGTGTCACAATTCTACTTCCCCTTCTCCTCTTCCTTTCTCTGTTTGAGTTCCCCAAGGTTCTGTTCTGGGACCCTTCCTATTCTCAATCTACACCTCCTCTCTGGGTCGATTGATTTCCTCCCATGGCTTTCAATACCATTTCTATGCTGATGACACCAAAGTCTATCTCTCCACACCTAAGCTTACTCCATCAGTCTCCAAACATATCACTAATCTACTAACAGACATATCAGCCTGGATGTCACACCACTTCCTGAAAATTAATCTATCCAAAACTGAACTCATAATATTTCCTTCCCTATGTGCCCCTTCCACTGACTTCTTTGTCAAAATCAACAGCTCAACCATCAACCCGTTCTCACATGCCAGGGTGCTAGGTGTGTCCTTTCAGCCTCACATCCAATCACTGTCCAAAGCTTTCCACCTCAAACTCCGTGTTAGGGATCCGGGTATGACCGGAAATGTGTGGGAACACAGGTGTAGTCAGGGCTGGAGAGGTGGAATGGTCAGGCAGGCCATTTGGTACTGTTAAGCACTGCCTGGCAGCGTCTCTAGCAGCCCACAGCACGGGGTTCCTCAGGGCACAGGGTCTAAATCCCAATCTGCTTATTCACCAGGGCCCCTGATGGTGGGGATGGACTTGGAGCAGACTGAGACCAGGTCGCGACCCCTGAGTACATCCGGCAATGGTAGAGAGCACCGCCAGAGGTGTGTGGGGAAAGGAGCCTGACGTGAAGAGGCTGGCAGACCTAGTAACAGGGACAGATCTGTGTGGGATGGATGGATCATCTGGGTGGTGTAAGGCGTAGTCAGGCAGGCCAGGTCAGCAACGTGCGGGTGGCGAGGTACCGGAGGAGCAGGCAGAGAATGGTCAGGGTCACAAGCCGGGTTCAATAACTCACGGGCAGCGCGGTACAGAGGATCAGGCAGAAGGATGGTCAGGCAAGCCAGGGGTTAAACAGGAGATGGTCAGCAGGCTCAGGCACAATGCAGAGGTCGGCAACAGAAGATTCCAGGTACAGGGGCTCATGGGAAACAAACACCAAGGCACTGATTGCAGGCCTGGTCCTGCTTAAATAGACCTCCTGCAATCAGCCTCAGGTGATGGCTTGATTGCAGGAGTGAGGCCCTGGCTGCTGAAAGCACCCTCTGGTAGGAGCTGGTAATGCAGCCCACACAGCAAGTGAGCCACAGCACCACCAGTGGTGAGTCCATTCCTGACACTCCTCAATATCTCCAAGATATGCCCCTTCCTAACCAATGACACCACAAAGCTTCTAACTCACTCCCTAGTCATCTCCCCCGCCTTGACTACTGCAGCTCCCTTCTCACTACAAAATAAGAACAAAAAGAAAGCACACCAACCTTGCGCATTACCTCAATAAAATATGTGATTTTATTAAAATTAGATGTATACTCACAAACTTGGCAGTATAAAAGGCATGTAAAATCCAAGAAAGGAACACTGAAATGGAGACACCTGCAAATCCCACCAGAAGGGGAGACTCTCAGAGCTCTGAGGAAGAAGGGATCTCCCTTCAAAATGCGTCAGTTCACTCTGAGAATAATCAACAATAAATTGGTGTAGCGCTACAAAGGATAAGTGAAAATGCATATAAAAAATATAATCAATAAAAACATATATAAACCTAAATTAGTCGTAGATCCTCCAGAGATCTAAATGAAGTGAAACAACAAGTGATAAAGTACATACATATAAAATAAAGTAAAATTCAATATATATAATATGTGTATATATTTGGGGTTTTAGCACAAGTCACCTTGATTTATGGTTATCTCACCATTTGGGATTCACTTTGTCGCTTCTAGTGTATTTATCCCAATTTGGGATTGGGCGGTTTTTCACTTTATTTTAGGTCCAATTTGGGACCTGATATATGTATGCACTTTATCATTTGTTGTCTTGCTTCATTTAGATATTCACTTATCTTTTGTAGCGCTACACCAATTTATTGTTTATTATTTATCGCACCTATAAGTTTAGGATAGGGTGTCAGCTGCTTAGTTCACTAATTTATCCTTTTAACACAGGTTGACTCTCTCTTACGTTTGTAGTTCATTCTGAGAGTCTCCCCTCCCAGTGAGATTGTCTCACACTTTCTTGGATTTTACATGCCTTTTATACTGCCACGTTTGTGAGTATATATCTCACTTTAATAAAATCACAGCTTTTATTGAGGTAATGCGTAAGGTTGGTGCGCTTTCGTTTTTGTTCTCATTTGCAGTATTGGTTGGGCTTCCCCAGCTTTGTTAAGAGCTGCACAACCTTTGATCCGTTGGTGGACAAACTTCCCTAGTGGTTGATCCATCCACCCACTCCTGATCTAGGTCTCTGAGCGCAGGAGGCGTTGTTTCTGTTTTCACTGGCTGCCTTCTCACTGGCTTCCCTTTGCATAGGCTATCCCTCCTCCAGTGCATCATGAATGCTGCCGCAAGACTTATCCACCTTACCAACCATTCAGTGTCCACCCCTCTTTGCCAATCCATCCAATGACTCCCACTCGCCCAATGAATAAAATTCAAGATATTTACAACAACTTATAAAGCCATTCACAACTCAGCCCCCAGCTACATAACTAACCTGGTCTCAAAATACCAACCAAATCATTCTCTTCATTCCTCCCAGGACCTCCTGCTCTCTAGCTCCCTTGTCACCTCCTCCCATGCTCACCCCCAGGATTTCTCCAGAGCCACTCCCATCCTCTGGAACTCCATTCCCCAATGTGTCCAACTATCTCCATCTCTGTCAACTTTTAGATGATCCCTGAAAACTCATCTCTTCACAGAGGCCTATCCAGCCCCCACCTAACAACTGTACATTTATTTTGTCCATCAGCCAATCCCCCACAGTTATTACCTTTTGTATGTCTCAACCCTCCCTCTTAGATTGTCTGCCCTTATGTTGTAAACTGTTGCTGCTATATAAATCCTGAATAATAATAATAATAATAATAATATTATTATAATACATATTTTATGTATTAAGATCAGGGGTCTCCATAGGTTTTAGTATAAGGACCACATCATATATTTTACAAAGTTTTATAAATATACAAATAATGAATGAATACAGTATGTTTTATTTGGATCTGTTTTGGGATCAGCATGATATGATTCAGAATAAAAGAGAAAGAACTTAAGTAAAACAAAGCAAAGTCCCCCTTACATTAGGGTCCCTATCAAAGCTCCACTTACATCAGAATTCACTTTAGGAGTTCCCCCTTACATCAGTGTCCCCATCAGAGTGCCCCTTACATCAGTGTCTACATGAAAGTCCCAGTTTACATTATTCCCCCTCCCCTTACACCAGTGTCCCATTAGAGTCTCTGGTTACATCAGAGTTCCCTCTTACATCAGTGTCTCAATCGAGTCCACCATTAGATTAGCGCCCCCATCAAATTCCCCCTTTACATCAGGGTCCCAAACAGAGCACCATTTACATCCGAGTCCACCTTAGAAGATACCCCTTACATCAGTGTCCCCATCGAGTCCACCATTACATCTGTGTCCCCATCAGAGTCCCCCATTTACATCAGGGTCCCAAACAGAGCTCCATTTACATCTGAGACCACCTTAGGAGTCACCCCTTACATGAATGTTCCCGTCAGAGTTCCCCCTTACATCAGTGTACCCATCGATTCCTCCATTACATCTGTGCAGGGGCGGACTGACCATTTGGAAACTCGGGCAATGCCCGAGGGCCCAAGGTCAGTAGGGGGCCCCATAAGATGCCCCTGGTACCTTTTTCATAGGCTTTTTTGAGTTTGGGCAAGGACACAGGGGCCCCATGATTCCCTATTGCCCGGGGGCCCCATGAGTTGTCAGTCCGCCCCTGCATCTCTGTCCCAATCAGCCACCCCACCCTTACATCAGTGTCCCCATCAGAGCTCCCCCTTACATCAGTGTCCACATCAAAGTCCCAACTTACATTATCAATTCCCCCCCTTACATCAGTGTCCGATTAGAGTCTTCGCTTACATCAGAGTTTCCTCTTACATCAGTGTCCCCATCAAGTTCACCATTACATCTGTGTCCTCATCAGAGTCCTCCTTTACATCAGGGTCTCAAACAAAGCTCCACTTACATCCAAGTCCCCCTTAGGAGTCACCCCTCACATCAGAGCCCCCATTAGAGCCTTGCCTTACATCAATGTCTCCATCAAAGTCCCAGCTTACATTATTCCCCTCCTCCCTTACATCAGTGTCCCATTAGAGTCTCCACTTACATCAGAGTTCCCTCTTACATCAGTGTCTTAATCGAGTCCACCATTACATTAGCGCCCCCATCAAATTCCCCCTTTACATCAGGGTCCCAAACAGAGCACCATTTACATCCGAGTCCACCTTAGGAGATACCCCTTACATCAGAGTCTCCATCATAGTCCACCCTTACATCAATGTCCCCATCAGACTGCCCCTTACATCAGTCTCTCCATCAGAGTCCCGGCTTACATCATACCCCCCTCCCTTATATCAGGGTCCCAATCAGAGTTTCTGATTACATAAGAGTTCCCCTTTATATCTTTGTCCCAATCAGAGTCCACCAGTACATCTGTATCCCTTATTTTAGGGACCCATCAGCAAGAACCAACTGATCCGCATTCTCAGTCTGCACACATCAGCTGTGGGCCAGATAAAACCCATAGTTTTGAAGACCTCTGATATAGATAATAGAATCCTCAATCATTGCAAGGTGCCTCTCTGTCATTTTGCTCTAGAATGGCTGCACAAACCATATCCATTTCTGGAGCTTCAATTCTGCCATTTCTCGGTAACTTGGTTGTATCTTCTTGTTGGGTACTTGTGTTCAAAGGATGCAGAAACAACATGGGGAGACAATATGGATGCCAGGTGTTCTGCAAAGAAGGACATGAGTAAAACACAAAAACATGGATTTGTTTAAATACAGCTGTCCTGTATCATAAGACTAGGGCAGAGGAGCAGTGGGGAGTCTATAATTCTTCTTTATGTGGAAACAGGAGAAGGTTTAGAAACAGCTCTGCATAACTGTGCTTCTATGGGACAACAGGGTCAATTCACTAAGATACATGAGTTATTGTTACTGCATTCCTTAGTGTATCTAATCATTTTCTTATGAAAACATCCAATTCACAAACTTGGTGTGTAAATGATTTAATCATTCTTCATTGAGTATTAAAGCCCAATTATAGCTTCAAAAATAGCAAGAATAGATCCCCCATCAGCTGTAAAAACATAAAAAAAGGCCTGTTTCAGCTGCTACACTTACCCCCTCTCTGGATCTCTGGACACCGTCCCCCACAGACTCACCCGCTCAGGAATGGAGCGCCATCCCTCTTCCTGGCTAAATTACTCCCAATACCATTCAACCCACTTCCTGTGAGCCCAGGCTGTCAAGGCTTCACCCCCCCCCCCATCCAGGACTCATAGGATAATGTTGCAGGAAGGGGCACCTTGTCATTACATGGTGCTGTTCTCTACAGCATAAAGTGAAAAACCGCTTGCCCACCACCACATAGCAAATGTACTGCTACAGGGCATCTGCGCTGTGCAAAATCACATAATTATAGATGAATTTGCATTACCAGGTAGGGGGCCCACCCTAACCGCGCTGCTACTAGTTCCTAGGGATGTCAATCACCAGGTCCCGACCGGTGATTCCTGGCCGGGACTCGGTGATCGTTAGCGAAGCTGAGAGGGGAGAGATCTGTGTGTTAACAACACATGGAAAGAAGCAGGTCTCCTTAGTAAAACAGGACACAGTACATAATAAAAACACTCCCTAACACACACTTAACCCTTTGATCACCCCAGATGTTAACCCTTTCCTGCCCAGTGTCATTAGTACAGTGTCAATGCTTTTTATTAGAACTGATCACGGTATTAGTGTCACTGGGGATGTCAGTTGCAGTTAGTCAGTTCCCCCCAGTATCAGAATGCCCACCGCAGTCCTGCTATAAGTCGCTGATCACCGCCATTACTATTATGAAAAAAAACCAATTTCCAGTAAATATACCACCATTTGTAGACACTATAACTTTCATGTAAACCAATTTTTATACAGTTATTGCGATTTTTTTTTTTAGCAAAGACATGTAGCAGAATACATTTTGGTTTAAATTTATAAAGAAATTTTATTTTTTTATTGTTTTTATTGGATATGTTTTATAGCAAAAAGTCAAAAATAATGTTTTATTTTTTTTCAAAATTGTCAGTCTTTTTTTGTTTATAGCGCAAAAAAATAAAAAATGCAGAAGTGATCAAAATAACAACAAAAGAATTTGTGGAAATAAAGGGCATAAATTTCATTTATGTACAGCATTGCAAAACCGCGGTTGTCAGTTAAAGTAACGCAGCGCCGTATCACAAAAATGGCCTGGCCAGAAAGTAAATCTTCCATAGGGTAAGTTTAAGAATCCATCCATTGTTGGAGAAGGAAAAAGGTGAAGAGGAGCTGTGGAGCTGTGATGTCACAAGACCAAACTCACCTGGAAAGAAGATAATTATAGCAAAGTTTTTTATCGATGTGGGGTGTTCAACTGGGTTAATGGGGGTTACCATGGAGTTGACTATTACTTATTATTATTATTATTGTTACAGGTACTTATAGGGAGGAGCTGTACGTCGTGACGTCACGCAGCCGAAGCCTCGTGCAGGTCCGGCGGCCATATTGGATTCCCTCATGGTCAGTTCTTTTTGTATTATTGTATACCAAATAGAAGGAATAAATGCACTTTTAAGCAGTATCACGCTATTGTCATCCTTTCTTTGGGCTCTTTATGAGCTTACCAACCCAGAGCTTTACACGAAGGACAGCAGAGGTACTGCAGATGACCCAGAGAGGGGGATTCCAGACCAGGCTTAAAGGGACATCCTTAAAGGGACCTCTGGCTGACCACAGTTTATATCCATAAATGCGTATTAATATTACGCATCTGGTGAGTGCGTAATTCTACTACTTACCTGGCACATCACCAAACCATTGATTATAGCATGTGGATCACCAATTTTGAGATCATACATTTCCGGATCTCCAACTTGTCACTTTATGGACATTTTATTTCCATACTATTGATAATTATTTATTGTGTTTGTCACTTTATTAGCACCAGCAGTCACTTTATTGTGACACCATATAGTGTGATCACGTTCACTTTGTCACTTTATGGACATATCAGTGCAATTGTTATTGGTCACTTTATTTACACTAACAGTCATCTTATTTATTATTTACAATCATCTGAGACAGTGATATATTCATATATTGGTTTATACCTTCATGTTTTCACATATTGGTTTTATATCTTCAAATTTGCATCAGCACTTTAATTTATTCGCACTTTATCACGTATATCAGATTCAGAGATATTCAGGTTTTGGGCGCTGCACCTATTATTTATTAGTGACTTTGGAAGGTTTATTTGGTTATGTTTTCGGTGTTACAGCAGCTGTGGATTTTTAGCGCTCGCTTTCCTGTTCGTGTTTATAGTTTATACATGTACTTCTATAGCGCCGTCAATTTATAGCAGCTTTATATATATATATATATATATGTATATATATATATATATATACTGTATATATACTGTATATATATTGTACATTCACATCAGTCCCTGACCCTCAAGGAGCGTACAATCTAAGGTCCCTAACTTACATTCATACATACACATACTAGGGTCAGTTTAGACAGGAGCCAATTCACCTATCAGCATGTCTTTGGAGTGTGGGAGGAGGAAATGTAATGCATGACTGTAATGCATGAGGTCATCCACACACTGCGAGTTACCAATTTGTGTGTGCTATATCCACCCCTCCACCTTGCTTCACTGAGTTTGGTGCACCCTTGCTGTCTCTCTTAGCTATTGCAGGTGCCATCCAGACCAGGGGCGGATCAACAACTCATGGGGCCCCCGGCAATAGGGGATCATGGGGCCCCTGTGTCCTTGCCCAAACTCAAAAAAGCCTATGAAAAAGGTACCAGGGGCATCTCATGGGGCCCCCTTCTGACCCAGGGCCCTCGGGCAGTGCCGAGTTTCCAAATGGTCAGTCCGCCCCTGATCCAGACCATATCCAATGTATTCCTTGGAGTCCTCCCCAGCTGAGAATTCTTTATGAGAACCATGACAAGCACAATTTGTCTTACTTTATGTGAGTTGCTAATTGTCTTCCTTTGAAAAATGTTTACACACACTGCACTTAGTCTGGTTTAGAGATCTCTTAGAAGTACTGTGTTCATTGTGCTGGATTAGATTCTTCAGCGGTTCCTAAAGCCATAGGATTTATCTTGCAGATTTGGACCACACTGTACTTTCCAACAAGGAAGTTTGTCTCAACCCAGGCTGCACCCACCACGCCATATTGACGATTTTTATCCTCATCATGTAAGAAGCCCAACATTTTTCAAAGGAAGTTGAGGATCTCCAGGATCTATCTTCACCAATTAAAACAAAGAAAAAACCCACTCAGAACAATAGCAAACAAACGTGCACATGGGCAGTGCAATTCAAGGAACGATGCAAACATTTTCGGCAGCAATCTTCTATAACCTGTTTCACTATTTTAAGTTAGGTTTGTTGCATACATTTGGAAAAGGTAGTTACACTGCTATGCACTGACCAGAATAGTCTGATACCGGCTGTCCAACCAGCTGATCATAGAGCTGACACCCAAGGGACAGCCCCAATCATCTCTATGGTCTAAGAGACCTAAAGAAATGAGTTTCGTCAGTTCTGGTTTGGGCAGAATGTAATCATTCCATTTTTGGATTAGGAAAGCATCTGTTCAAACTGATCGTGAGTTGATAAGATGCTTTTAAGGGCAGATGACAGATCTGGGGTCTAATAGAACCCGGATCTCTCAGTAAAGAGGACCTGTCACTGCCTATTGCTATCACAAGGGATTCCTTGTGATAACAATAAAAGTGTCTA